AAAGACGTAATGGTTTTTTAGAATTAGTTATTTTAATTCAATAGTTTAATTTGAACGCCCTTCTTTTCTTTACTTTTTCTCGAGCAAAAATGTAAAATTTTCTTAACAAACCAAGACATAAATAGCAGGAATTTTGATCAAAGGAAATCAATTTTGAAAGGAGAACAAGAAGTATTTCTTTCTACAGCAATATCAGGAAAATCTCATTTTGGACAATTTTAAAAAATTGGTAGTTCGATGAAAAAAATCAATTTTTTGAAACCGAGAGAAATGTGCGTCTTTTAATGTAAAGTTGACATTGAAATATCGGATACTGTTTATTTCATAGGAAAACTCCAGATTCAGATAGTATAACTTTAAGGAAGAATATTATGTCGTTTCTAAAGCTAAAAAAAAGAACTTTCTTTTACCCAGAGAAAAAAACAAGGGAAAATGTGGACTGAATTTGGTAGTTTCGATGAAAAAATCAAGTTTTTGAAACCTTGAGAAACGTGCGTATTTTAATACAAAATTCACAGTAAAATATTGGATAGTGTTTATTTCTCAGGAAAACTCAAGATTGAGACAGAAAAACTTTAAGAAAGAATATCACACTTCGTTTTTAAAGCTAAAAAAATAACTTTCTCTTACCCATAGTAAAAACAAGAGAAAAGGTGGACTAAATTTGGAATGAAAACGTAGTGGTCTTTTAGATTTAGTTATTTTAATTCAATAATTTAAATTTTACTCCCTTGTTTTCTTTACTTTTTCTTGAGAAATAAAGTAAAATTCAAGGTACCTGAAATTTTCTAAACAAACCAAGGCATAAATATTAGGAAGTATGATCAAATCAGATCTATTTTGACATGCTATGTTAAATGCATCTTTCTACTGGAATATCTGAAGCCCCCAGTGGCACAGCTGTGTGTCTACGGGCTTACAACGCTAGACTACAGGTTTCGATACCCGTGGTGGGCAGAGCACAGATAGCCCATTGTGTAGCTTTGTGCTTAATTACAAACAAACAATACAGAATATCTGGAAAATTGTTAAATGTTTGACAATTTTAAAGGCCTTGGTAGTTTCGTTGTAAAAATATATTTTTGAAATAGAGAAAATATTGCGTATAAAATTGAAGATTATAACACTATATCGAATACTGTTTATTTTCTAGAAACATTCAACATTGAGGCATAAACAATTCAACTAAAAACATTTTGTCGCTTGAAAAGCTAAAAAAATAACTTAATATCAAATGATTCTTTATTTTTCTTGTCTTCTAAACTTAGTGTGTGTGTGTCGATGATTCTAGTTTTTCCCAGTTTATTTTGTGTCCAGTTGACATGGTGTGTTCTGCAATGGCTGAATTCTCTGTTTTCATTAGTCTTGTACTGTCTTTATGTTCTTTTATTCTTGTCGCGAGTGTTCTTACCGTTTCTCCGATGTATGTTTCGTTGCAGGAACACGGTGTTTCATAAATGACGTTTTGTGTTTCTCATTGGTGGGATACTGTTTGTTTTTTACCAGAATGGACCTTAATGTCTTGTAGGATTTCCACCGGTTTTCTATGTTGAATTTCTTGGCTGTGCATTGGAGTTTTTCACTGACGTTTTGCAGGTAGGGGAGGTGATTGGTAGTAGTGGTAGTGTTTTTCTTATCTTTTCTTTCTGTTGTGGTCATCTTCGTGGAGTATTTTAATGTAGGAGGAGGTGTAACCATTCTGTTTAAAATCCTTTACGATCTTTTGGCGTTCTGTGTCGATGGATGTCTTATCACAAATGTTTTCTGCTCTTTTCTGTTGGCATTCGATTATACCACGTTTTATTGAGGACGGATGATAGGACTGGAAGTGTCTGTTCGTGGGAGTGGGTTTTCTGTATACAGTTGTGGTGATTTTTTCTATTTTGTCTGCTGATGAGTATGTCAAGAAACGGTGTCGTCAACATAACATCTGTAGAAACTTGGTTTGATATGTGTGGATGAGAGGGCTCTTTCTTCAAAGTCTTCCATGAAAATATCTGCTAGGATTGGAGAGAGTGGTGATACCATGACTAGACCGTTTGTTTGTTCGTAAAATACCTCGTTGATTGTAAGGAAAGAGTCGTTAGTTCCATGATGGCGTCTATCTTCATGTCAGTTCTGTCTGATTGAGAGCTGTCATTCAGCAGTCGTTGTCTGGTGATGTGATGGGTTTCTAAAGCTGGAATATTGGTACATAGGTCTGTGACGTCAAAACTTACCATATATCCTGGGATCTGATGTGTAGCTTCCTGAGTTGGTCTATGAAATTTGTCGAGTTTTGAATGTGATGTTCGGTATTTCCTCGTAGCGGAGATAAGAAAGGTACCAGGAAGGTAGCTAGCTGATGGCAAGGTGAGTTTATAGCACTGACGATAGGTCTTAAAGGTGTATTAGGTTTGTGTACCTTAGGTAGACCGTAGAACTGAGGGGGCAAATTTTCGTTGGTTATTAAATCTTTGGCTAGCTTCTCGTTGATTAAGTTTTGTTTTTTAAAGTTTGTTCAGTGTTCTATTGATGGGCCTCTCTGTATTTTCTGTAGGATAAATGGTGTTTGTCTAGTAACTGTTTGATCTTCGTGTCATAATCTTTAACGTCTAGGATGACTATACTGTTACCTTTGTCTGCTGGTAGAACCTTGATATTTTTGTCCCATCTTAGACGGTTCTGTGCGCTGCATTCTTGTTTAGTGATATCAGGTTTTGGTTTCTTGGCATTCCTGAGGATGGTGTAAGTTTGATGTCGGAATTGTTCAGCCATAGGTTTCGGGAGGTTTTGTGCAGCAGATTCTAAGGTTGCAGCTTTGTCAACAGTTGGAATTGTGCTAGGTTGTATGGCGAAGTTTAGGCCTAGGTTCAGAATCTTATTTTCTGTATTACTTAGTAATCTCGAACTGTAGTGGTGAACTATGTTTGTAGTCGTAGGATTATCTGTCTTGGTAAGTCTGTTGAATTTTTTAACTTGTTTCTTCATGATGTTTTCTAGATTGGATGTATAGCGTTTGGTATAGAGGTTTAAGATATCCAGTGCTCTAGTATTTGTGGTGAAAAGTTGTTAAATAATAATGTCGACTCTTATTCCTAAAAAATATTCTACATGGCCAGGTGGTTAGAGCGCTTGACTCGCAATTTGAGGGTCGCGGGTTCGAATCTCCGTCACACCAAACATGCTCGCCCTTTCAGCCGTGGGGGCGTTATAATGTAGCGGTCGATCCAACTATTCGTTGTAAAGAGAGTAGTCCAAGACTTTTCGGTTGGTAGGGATGACTAGCTGCTTTCCCTCTAGTCTAACACTGCTAAATTAGGGACGGCTAGCGCAAATTGCCCTCGTGTAGCTTTGCGCGAAATTCAAACAAACAAACCATTCTACAAAGTTTTGACATTATTATTGTTATTGAATAGCAACATGCATGGTTGATGAACGTAACAGTTACTTTATTATTTACTTAATGCTTCCCGTATTAATACTGTTGGTTAGAGTGTTTTATTCATTTTATTTTTTCGTAATTATATATATTTTTTATTATAAGGACTATTTTACATTGTTAGCTTAGCATAAGGATTTACCTAAATATTTTAAACTAGCCGCACACCCCCAGTGGCACAACGGTATGTCTGCGGACTTAGAACGCTAGAAATCGGGTTTCGATACCTGTGGTGAGCAAAGCACAGATAGCCCATTGTGTAGCTTTGTGTTTAACTTCAAACAAACTTAACTGGCCGAACCTAGTGAGATATCTTTGGGATTACTGCCTAAAATATCGCTACTCAACTGATAAAACAACGTTTTTATATAATATAACGAAGAACGGTATACTATATTATCTATGTGTATTATTATTATTATTATTATTTATGCGAACATAATACAATCAGTCAATGAGTGTTTTTGGATCATACTATGGTACGTTTCGTGTCAAAAGTTCCTTTGAGTTATTTGTTTAAAGCTGTAACTTTGAACATATTTTGCCCTCCAGAGGTTCAGCATTAAGTCTAAGGGCTTATTACTCTAAAAATATTGTTTCGATACCCGCAGTGGCCACAACACAAGGAGCTCTTTCTGTAGCTTTATACTTATCCACAACCAAACTTAAAACATACTTGTATTAAACATTATTGGCCAGTAAAGAGTTTTTGTGTTGATTCTTAAGACTACTAAATATCACTGTGCGAAAAATGGAACATCTACAAATAAAATAAACACTAATTTAATTGAACTTTCACACTTTACTTCGTATTTATCAAGTAAATCTGAGACTTTGTTAATTGCTGAGTTCTTAAATCTGGTTTATGTATTAGTGCTGTTACTGCATTATAACACGAACTGAACTGAGTCTTCTCAAGAAACCCACTGTATAAGCTTTGTTTTTGTTTTTTTTTTGTGGCAAAACGTAAATTGGAAATCTGAGTTATCTCAGAGTCTTCTTCCAATCGAAAAGTTGGCTAGGAGCGAGTCTATCTCAGCCCAATACAAATTTACTTAGTCGCGTAATTAACGATAAAATTGGTTCACAACTTAACATCCATTCAACAATTAATTAAACTTGTAAACGGTCAGAGTTAGCAGGAAAACTCATGAACACGCTGATTCCCAATCGAAGGAATTTAAAATATGATTGTGCACGATCCCCAACAGCGTTTGTTAATTAAGTTATTATTAAAGCAGCGGTTAACTATGTCAGCTTCTCTATATTGCTTTACGAGATAGTTACACCTTGTGACCGTGAAATCTCCAACTCCACCCTAGTAATTAATGCGTGTAAATTGACCTCTTGTTTACCCAAGGAAAGGTCATTTTCAGTTAGTGCTATTTTTCGAACAACCAAACTGTCTCAAGACCTGAGTGGAGTCAGTTATCGAAAACGCTACACTACACTAGGTTTGATTGAGATTACAGATAACTTTGATATGATTGGTTGTTTGTTTAGGACATTTGCGCAAAGTTACACGTGAGTTACCTAGGTAAGTTACAACCTCAGAAATAAGAGGAAAGACATCACTCACCGCCAACAATTGGATTGCTCTTGTGAGACAGAAGAGTTGGATGTGACCACCATTCTTATAACGCACGGCAATTTTTCCCCTTTTTTTATTTTTTGGTTGGAGGTAAAGGGACGCGAACCACGGAACATCACATACACAGTCCAGCATGCTAACCAGTGGCCACGCTCAGCCCCTGTGATATTGAAATAAGATACATGAACGTAATTAAAAACAGATCAGTATAGATTTATTTTCACAATAATTGCTAACTATAAAACATGAAAAATACAAACAACCAAAAGACATGAACAATAAGAATGGTCTATATAAAAATTTAGAATTAGAATAGCTTATAAGAGTGACGAATGGTGGGTGGTAAGGTGCTGCTGACTGGCTGTCCTCTCTCTCTCTCTGGTCAATAGGTCGAAATTATGGATGGTAGCAGATAGCCTCAGTGTCATTGGCATAAAAAAATACAAATTAAAAGTCTAACGGAACAACGAGAAAGAGTTTTTTTATTCTACTCATTGGCCTCATGCTAATGAGCAAACGAGAATCCATTGTTTTTGTTAAGTGTCTGTTTTTAGCACAAAAAACAAAACTATAAACTTTTCGTAAATTCCTGGATTTATAGAATTAGATAAAATTCAAGTTAAATCTTTCAAAAAAGTTCAAATTTACCAGACTCGATGCGTTAGAAGCCAGACGATATGCATGAATATAAGACGATGAGTGCAGTGACATCTATCGAATACAATAGCAAACCTAAAAAACAATCATTTACTAAACGTGGCTTTTGATTTTTGAGAAAATTGTAACATTAATCTAATACCTAAACGAAGCTTATCCTAGAAATAAGGAAACCTTCAAGATTTCTTGTTGAAAATCACTGAAGATATGCTTCATGCTGCTGTCTCATCTAGAGCTTGTTGTTAAAAGTATTGGGATATACTGAACACTTGATATCGCGTGTACTGATAGTTACTGTGTTATTAAGATAAAATAATACTAAACAAATTTTGGGTCCCATTTAAACCCTACCCGTGGTCGTTTGTTTTTGTTCTTGACCTTCATGAATTTGTTATTGTTTTTTAAGACTCATAACGGAGGCAAATTAATGTGTATAATTATACACGGTATTTCCGCTACGTTAAAATACTTTTATTTGTGAACTTCCGACAAAAGTTTGCAAATTAATGTGTAGAATTATACACAGTATTTCCACTACGTTAAAATACTTTTATTTGTGAACTTCTTACAAAAGTTTGCAAATTAATGTGTAGAATAAAATACGGTATTTCCGCTACGTTAAAATACTTTTATTTGTGAACTTCCGACAAAAGTTTGCAAATTAATGTGTAGAATTATACACGGTATTTCCGCTACGTTAAAATACTTTTATTTGTGAACTTCCGACAAAAGTTTGCAAATTAATGTATTTTAACGTAGTGGAAAGACCGTGTATAATTATACATATGAATGTTCTGGCAGATTCGTAGATTATATGGTTTTCCAGCCATCTATACGTTCACACACAAACGTTTTTTTTTGTTTTATTTTGTGCTCATCCTGTACATTTATATGTCTATAGATCCATTATTTACTTACACCTCCAAACCATCACATAGTATAATAAATTTCATCAATATTGTAAAATTTTACGTAGGTTATTTTCATAAACATTATGATACTCGAAACAATTATACTATTATCTTTTGATAGTTTCATTTTCAATGCTTAAAGTGTTAAGAACGCTATTTCGAAATTGGTTAAATTTATCATTAATGTATACGTCTTTCTTTACATTTTATCCACCAATGCGACAGCAGTAAGCCTTTGGATTTACAGCACTAACTCTGAGACTCGATTCCCAGCGTTGGACACAGCAGTTATCCCAAGGTGGTTAGCTCTAAAAACAAACAAACTTCACATTTTATAATTAAAACAGTTTAATTTCTCTAAAAATGTTATGTTTATCATCTGTCTCATATTATTTCTATTGCAATCATAACTCTTCCCTTAGATTTCAGAGACACGTATTGATAATTTTTAGAATCTGTCTAAAACAGTAGAGATATAAACGTTTTGGGGGAAAAGTGCAGTAATGTTAAATTAGGGACAACTAACGCAGATAGCTCTCTTGTAGCTTTGCGAGAAATTCAAAACAGTAAAGCTTAATTATTCAGGGAAGGGAGTAAATTGCTACATAAATGTATAATACGGACCACTCGATAAAGTTAATATATTCACATTATTAAGACAGCATGTAATGTAGAGCAGTAGCAAAAGCGGGAAAATAATAAACCTAATAATCCGAAGATAGACCTTTCTTCATATGTATAGTAAGTCCTAATGAGATAGTCAGTGTACAGTAAATTTATGTTATTCGTTTAAAACTAATAGTCTTAAGCTTGTGTTCTTCAGCACTACTTTTATTAATCCTTTTTAACATAAATGCCGATAGGATTACGTAAAACTTAATTTTATAGTGTTACAGTCTGAAGCTCAAATGATATACAGAAGTTCTCGTAATAACGAGAACATTTTATTAATGTTTTTGGATGTTTTATTCTTTTCTTTAATAGATAAATCAAGTTTTTGAGGTTCTTCACTGGAACCTGAAGAGAACACCAACAACGGTGTTACAACAAAGTTATGATACAGTAATAGGCTTTGTAGCGGAATGTCCAAGGTTCGCGCTGTGATGTCGCTGAACACACTCTGTAGTGTTCAGCTGTGGGTGTGTTATAGAAGTGACAATCAGTTCCGTTAATGGGTTCAAAACCGGACTAAGATTTTGTGGTAATGATTGCTTCTGACTGGCAGCTCTCCCTCTGGTCAGTAGTTCTAAAGTAAATACTGCTATATCTGAACACCAGGGGTCTGTGACCCGGTCGTTTAACCATAAGATGTCATTCAAGGTGAAAATACCAATACCTAGTAATGACATTCAGAGATTTGGAGTTAATTCGCTAATTATTGTGCGACTGAGCCAGATCTTTTTTTTCTGCGTTAGAATGTATACTGAAGGGTTATTATTGTTAATGCCAGACCATAACCATTTAATATAAAGTTAATAATGAAGCTTCAAGTAAATAACTGGACTTTTTATGATTTTTCTTGGAAGGAAAAACTTTCTGTTAAAAGAACTTTCAACTAATATTAAGTTAAAAATAAGTCAAAAAATTAATATTTTTGAAATCATAAAAATTCACGTTAGTTACAGTGACCAGTAATTTAGCCTATTTAACAATCGACTTAGAGTAGACTCTGGTGTTTTGAGCACTTCTGAAAAATTTGAATTAATCTGATCAATTGTTTTTTGCCAGACACAGAAGAAGAATAATAATAGACAAATTTGAAAACCTGATTTTTTCAGGAAGTCAGGTGAAGCTTGAAGATTAATATGCTGACCACGTTTGAAAATAGACCTATTCTTCTATATAACAAATGGTATTTTTAGTAAATCACATCTGACATAATCTGTCGCCATACATTAATCTTACCTTAAGTCTAGCCCACTGTTAGTTCATTATTCATTCATGTTGACCAAAGAGAATTTTATTTTTCCGATCGGTTAAATTATACTAACTAGATGGGGCGACCATCGGCTCAAAAGTCCCTATTCCGTACGAAACGTATTTAAAAATAAAAACTATTCACAAAGTAACATAGGACTTTCAGAATTTCATATACACCTATACAATAAATGTTTGTAGCACAAGTTAGATGACGCCTTAATCAGGACTTCCTAACACTCAGGTGGCCAATAAATAGTGTGAGTGTGTGAAATGTCACTTGTTAAATATGACATTCTATAGTATCATATGGATTTTGCATGATTCACAAGTTTCTAGTTAATACATTTACACTATTTTTATGTCATAAATATTTGTTTTAGAGTTCGTTACATATCAAACAAAGCATACTTAAATCCTGTGAATGATGACCAATATTCTATCTATTCATGTCTGCGGACTCACAACGCTAGAAACCGGCTTTCGATACCCGTGGTAGGCTGAGTACAGATAACCCATTGCTTAGCTTTGTGCTTAACTACAAACAAATAAATGTAGTTGAAATGAAAGATAACAACAAAAGTTGTGTGTTAAAAGTTATGACGATTAGAGAATTAATTTTCAAAGGGTGGAAGACTGAGGGGATTAAGAGGAATACAGGGTGAAGACTATGAGAATTAGTGCAAATGGGATAAAGAGTAAATACTTTAGAGATTAGTACAAAAGCGAAAAAACTTTAATGTTCTTATAAACTTCTCACAAACATACATTAAACAACTGGTTTCGACTTGGCACCTGATCTAGGCCTGAGGTTGGTATATTTTTGATCACAAAGGGTATGTTACTATACTATTAGTCACTAGAATATCTCCCAAGAAAATGTTTCATGATTAACTATTGATTCCTGACATGTTGTACCTCAGTTTTTCCTACCTGAAATCAGTCAAACTGCTTTATTTCTCTGGAGTCAATAAAACTGTCCAGCTTTATCTTTCTGGAATCACATTAATCAAATGCTTTATTTCTCTGGAGTCAATAAAACTGTCCAGTTTTATCTTTCTGGAATCACATTAATCAAACTGCTTCATTTCTCTGGAGTCAATAAAACTGCTTAGCTTTATCTTTCTCGAATCAAATTTCCCAGCTTTATCTCACTTTATCTCAATTAAAAAGATGCCTTAGCTTTATCCCTCTGGAATAAAGCAAACTTCCCAGCTTTATCTCACTGGAATCAAATAAACTTCTCACTTTTATCGCTCTGGGATTGGACAAATTTATCAGCTTATTCTCTCTGACAATAGGCAAACTTCTCAGCTTTATCGCTCTGGAATCAAATAAACTTCTCACTTTTATCGCTCTGGGATTGGACAAATTTATCAGCTTATTCTCTCTGACATTAGGCAAACTTCTCAGATTTATCGCTCTGGAATTAAATAAACTTCTCAGCTTTACCTCTCTAGAATGAAACAAACTGCCCAACTTTATCTCTCTGGACTTAAGCACTCTGCTCACTTCCTTGATTTAACAGTTCACTCACACAACTTGCATAAGCCGA